GGGGGGGGGGAGGGGATCAGGGGCAAACAGCACGCCGTGTGTGATTAGCGAAGCAAAAGGGGGTGAGGCCTTCGCCAGGTCCCTCCACCGGGGTGCAAGGAACGGCTCCAGATAAATACTTGCCTCAAAAAGATCTGGCCCCCTCTCTCATTCTCTCTCGACATGCGGAGAAAAAGCTTCTCTCCAATACCTTACGGTTTATATACAGAAAAATACACAGTATTGTCGGCTCCTCTCGGCTCATCAGTCTTAAACAGAGAGAGACAATAACTTCCCACTCAGTGTTTCTCAAAAAATGAACCCACATCCACAATCTACAACCCTATAGCGCATTAACGCGTCAGGATGGGTTGTGACCAGCGTTCTTTTTAGTTTCATCCTCACAGGTCAGTATGATTTATTGGACCAGCCGTCAGGCATGGACAAAAAGGAGTTAATAGCGATTTTCATTTTCGACGGTGTATTTTTCACAGCCGCTGGGAAATACACGGCCCAAATTATTCTCACCTATACAGGACCCCGCCACCACCCACCACCCACCTCCAAGCCCGGAGTGCGAGGGAAGGGCGGTGGGAAGGGAGGCGGTGATCCCGCAAGCAAATCCGCGGCTAACCACCATTGTCTCCGTGAGCCTCTCCCTCCAGGCCCCCTTCCAGGCCCCACTCCAGGCCCTCCGACCGCAAATACGAGCCGTGCGCACAAAATAAGGGTGGGTAAAACCATGCCAATTTGCCCCTGCTGGCGCCTCGCCACGCCGCGCCTCGCCCTCCGCGAAAGGGGTGAGGGGAGGGGCAGAGAGGAGGGGCATTGTCGATCAACGTCACCCTTGCAAAGTTTCACGGCCAATTATTTTTACTTGAAAGTGTACATTCAAAGATAGTGGTATACAGCAGCAGGGAAATCCGGGAGGAAAATCGTAAAGGTGATGCACCTTGATTTACCGTAGCTTACAGTAACATTCACCGTAGCCTGGGGTGAAAATGGACCGTAGGCTACGGTGATGCAGGGTCAGGGTCTCTATAGATTACGGTGAAATTCACCGTAAGCATTTAACAGTGGGGCAGAAGACGAGACGCGCGGGGCGGGGCGAATGCCTGCGAGCTAGACCGAAAACTTTAACAACTCCACTCATAAACAAAAACTTGCTTTTATTCATCTCTGGACATTCTTCTTGTGATCAGCGCGGCATTCCTTTCTCAGAGAGCAAACGGCCGCTGTCTGCTGCCCGTCAGTCTGTGGGCGTGCCACCCGCCCCCGCGCTCGCGTGCCCCCTGCCCCGCGGCCCGGGGGGAAGGGGGTGCATAGGAAAGTAGCACAACTACTAGCTGCGCTGCAAACTTTCTCCGGCCGCCGGACGGCTGCGGTATCGCTCGCGTCAGCTGCCAAAGCCTCCGCTACCCCCTGGTGCCCGGCCCCTGCTCATCCCCGTCCCGCCGAACATATTTCTTCACCACGCGGACGGCGTGTCCTCCAAAATGTAATACGTCATCAGATGACACCACGTCGACCCTCATCCCAGCGCGGTGTGCCACACAACAAACTTCCAGCCCTTGTGTTTTTCAGGTGTTTCATTTCTCTTTTTTCTTTTTCTTTCTCTCTCTCTCTCTCTCTCTCTCTCTCTCTCTCTCTCTCTCTCTCTCTCTCTGCCCCCTCTGCTCACAGCCACCTCTATAGCGGCCGTTTTCGTCACACGGCGCGCGCGACCCGTGTGACGGCGCGGGTCTTACTTCCCCCCTCACATGCGGTCGCGCTCATTCCCCCCTCCCGACCCTCTTTCAATCCGGTAGCGGCAGAGCCCTTCACTGCCACACGACCCGACCCCCTGTGCCGGCACGCGAGCACATCTGACTGCAATCCCAGCCCCCCCCTCTCTCTCTCTCTCTCTCTCTCTCTCTCGCTCACTCTCTCTCTCTCTCTCTCTCCCCCCCTCTCTCTCTCTCTCTCTCTCTCTCGCTTGCCCGCTGTCTCTCTCTCACACACACATCTTCTTTGGTGGTGCCGTGCCACTTACCACGCCGCCACACCGTACCCCTCTAGGCCGTCAAGGGGGCGCGCGCGCGCGAGCAGAGGGGAAGCTCACCAAAGAGGAAATTTTCGTGGTCGCGCGGGGGCAAAGTTGGTTTATACAGCACGAGATGTGAAAACGCGACACGTTGGCGAGCCGACCTGCTGTGTGCATAGCGCCTCCCGGCGCCGAAGGAGAGGGTAGTGGGAGGCGGGGGGCTGGGGGGACAGAGCGAGGGAGGGGGCGCACAGTGCGGCAGATCTCGAAAAAGGTGGACATATTCCAAATTTTCACTTTGTCATACTAACTATTTTGTTTGTCCAGGGCGAATCTACAATGTTCGAAGCATCTAAAACAGTTACTCTCATATTTTTAAGCCATCACATTTATTTTCTAGATGCCCTCAAAAGTGAGTCATCAGAAGCGCAATCAGCGCGCTCCTTCCCGCGCAAATTACACGTATTTTACTTCCTAATTTCCATTAAACAGGAGCCTAAATGTAAAATCAAAGTTATGAGAGTTGTAGTTCGACACTTCATCTTGCAAAATATGCAGGACAATTAAAATCAATCTTGCATTTTTAACGATAAAAATAGTGTTTTTTGGACACCTGCATCGAGACTTCATCTCTTGACCCGATATCTTTGAATTGAGTTATAAAACGATTGCCGCCGATTGCCGCGATTTCGTGCACATTGGAATAAAGTTCAAACATTAGTGAACTGATTCTGACTGAGAACGGCTGCCGCAATCCGCCGCTTTAGTTTTGCGGGGTAAAACTGTAGAGGTGCTTTGAGGTTAGGAACATCACTCTATACATGCCGATTTATACAGTTTAATAGACTTGTGGCCATCGCACGAGTCTAAAACTCGGTCAGTTACAGATAAAAATACTACCAATCGGTTTCCGAGCTGTTTCCCTTTGATTCAATCCTAATATAGCTAATATTTCAATCTAAAACTGACTCTGTGCACTCACTCGTTCTAACAACGGTGGGTGGACTTTTCTGGTAATTTTACACAAAACGGGAGGGAATTCCAGGTCATTCGTGATTCCCATTTAATTAAAGAATATTTCAACACGTTTGTAAAAGTGTTTCCTTTGAAAAAAATTAAAAATTACAATTTTTATACAAAAATATTTTTATAAATCGTACTTTAAAATCAAAATATTAATGGCAAAGGGCATAAAAACTATGCTGTAACTTCCAGAAACAAGGAAAGTCAAATTAAAGTCGAAGGGGTCGTTATTAGAATTATGTCCACCTTTTTCGAGATCTGCCGCACTGTGGGGCGGGGGAGGGAGGGAGGGGGTCGAACAACGCCGCTCACGTCCCGCAGCAGGTAGGCACGCCCGGCGTACATCCCCGTGCAGCGGGACGGGTGCTGCATACCGTCCGGACCGGGCCAGGCGGCACACCGGCCTGACAGGTGGCACGGCGTTATCCAAAGGACGTGACACATGTGCCGCCTGGCCAGAGTGGTTTCGCGGAACACCGTTTTGTTTTTTAATTTACAAGACGAAAAGTGAAACATAATCACTGTAAAAAATATCGTCGTAAATTTACAAAATTTTTGTAAACTCGAACTATCATTTAAGTTGTAAATTTACGACAGCACATTTTTTACTCGCCAAGGGATTTGAAGTCGATACATACTGCATGTATTGATACGATTACAAATTGTAATTTTACAACTTGCGTCGTCAAGGAAAATTTTCCTGTAAACCTATCTACTTTTTTTCACAGTGATGGGGAACATTTTGGGGAACACTATTTTTTATTTTTTTTCAGATTGTCGTTGTGTTGTTACTTACCTCGAGCGCGGCCGCGGCCAGCTTGCGCGCCGCCAGGCTGGAGGCGGCGGCGGGCTGCGCCATGGCGGCGGCGTCCCGGGCGGCGGCGAGGTACGACATGAAGGAGCACCCTGCAGGACATAGGAAGGACGCCGTCAGGACCACAGTATGACCGCACAAGTATCAAATAGTATTGTTGTTTAGTTGTTGTGGTGGTTGTTGTCACTGAAAAAAATTTGAGTACCCAGTTCAAGAAATTTTCCATTGAAGACGTCACACAATTACAACTCACATTATTAAATTAAAAGCAATGCGTATCGAATAACGGGCAACAACATCAACATACATCGTATACATGTGCGAACATATTTCTCAGAGTAGTTGTTATGGTTTTGGAATTCGAGTATTTGTTTTTATTTTTCCACTACTTTATGCGGAAAACGACAAGTGATTTGTCACCCCACACGGTCGTTACCGCTCTGAAAATTTGTGCGTGTAGGTTATGTATAGTAATAGAAATCCAGTGCGGGTAGCCCTCATAAACGCGAAGGCTCCCTTTCGCACGAGCCCTCCTTGCCGCCCGCCCCACTGCCCTACAGGGAGAGAGGGAGGGAGGGCGCTCTCGACTCCCCTCTGCTCTCCCAGCACCGCTCCGGGACCACTCTGCGCCACGGCCAGACGAGGCCGGGGCGGCCGACGCCGCCGACGTCGCCGCCGCTGTCACGCGTTAACGACGTCATCGAAAATGGCAAAAGCGGCGGCAGTGGGGGGCGGCGGCGCGCTCGGCAAGGCCGGGCACTGTCGGGCACAAGCTTTGGGTACAGGCCTCGGTACAGGCGCAATACCTCTGGCACAAGCTCTGGCACATGCTGTGGCACAGACTAGGGCATGGGCTAGGGCATGGGCTTTGCGTTTAGGCCTTGGAAACAGGCTAGGGCACAGGCGGGCACAACACATGCCCTTTAAAGGTTCTCCATCCTGAGCGCCCGCTCCAGCCGCACCTCGTGCACGCGTAAACACCTGGGCGCTCTCCTGGGCGTTCGCCTGGGCGCCTGCAGGCAGGCGCGGGAGGACCCTCGCCTCGACGGCTGATTTGTTTGCAGACGCGCAGGCGACAACACAAGAGGTGAAAACGAAAACAAAACAAAACAAAAAATCATTGAAGGGGCCAGACAAAATAAGGAAACCAGGTGTGTACGAAAAAAAAAAGGGAAAGTAAATTGAGCGTGTGAGAATTGTAATTCATCCTCACGTGGAGACGCACGCACACGGGTTATAAACACTCATACTAGAGAGGGTGTGCAAAAAGGCGGGCGGAAAGATTATCAAGCAAAAAAGCAGAACAATGGTTATCCCTCGAAACTGAAACCGTTGTGCCTCGTGCAGTGTAGGAGGGGGGCAGTTCGGAGGACAGGTGGAAAGAGAAGAGGGGGGCGAGGGAGAGG